ATTTACAAAAAACAAACAAACACAGAAGCTCTCTGATACAGAATTTTGTCTAAAATGACTGAAAATGTTTTGGGTGGTTTTTGGAGTGAAAATTTTTATTTTACTCACAAAGTTGTGTATGTGTGTTTCCATGATAGCTGATTGGCTGCAGAGTCCAGCGGGTACCAGAAGGATCTACAGAGCGTTACACTCGCTGGATCAACACACTCAGTCAGGACCAGCTCATCACACAGGTAAATGAATGCAGCTTAGCAGAGCATGTTTTGATTGCCGACTAATGTGTTTTCGCATGCATATGTGAATGCGTGAGGTCACGTGACAGGCAGCTACTAGGTCAGTTTGAAACAGGATACATACCTGCTGTACGCAGTTTCCACGGAAATGTGTTTGTGTAGTGGAGAGAGGATGCTGCATCACTCCTGACCTCTCTGTCTATCACAATCCCAGCAGAGGAAACAGACCCCAGTGCCAGCTGTCTGCTGAGGGCAGCCTGTAATGGAAGCTGGTTTTGAGCTTTGTGTAGAAAGCCTTGTGCAGCTACTAAATCATCCAAATCATCATACACAAGCACTTTAGTTTTATTATACTGTAAAGCTGTCTGAAAAATTGAGTACATCATTTTAAAAAAATAAGAAAAACTAAGAAAACAGGTAGCTCACTACTCAATAAACCTACAAGCTTCAAACTGTTTCTGTGCTCCTTGTTATATTTCATACATTGACGGCATCTGCAGTCATGCCAAAAGACCCGTTATATATATAAACCCTGTAATTCAGTAGCTTGTAGAGCCACCTTTTTAAGCAATATCTTGAAGTAATTGGTTTCTGTATGACTTCATCGTTTTCTCACATCATTGTGGAGGAGTTTTGGTCCACTTGCCATTACAGCGTTGCTTCAGTTCATTGAGGTTTGTGGGCATTTGCTTATGCACGGCTCTCTTGAGGTCTTGCCACAGCATTTCAATCAAGCTGAGGTTGGGACTTTGACTGCGCCATTGCAGCACGTTGCTTCTTCTTGGCTGCTGTGTTTGGGATCATTGTCCTGTTGCGTGACCCAGTTTGGGCCAAGCTTTAGCTGTTGGATGGATAGTCTTACATTTAGCTCTAGAATACTTTGGTATACAAAGACTTTATGGTCTACTCAAGGTGCCCGCGCACTGTGGTTGCAAAACAAGCCCAGGTCATCATCCCTCCACCAGAGTGCATGTCAGTAGGTATGAGATGTTTGTGCAGATATACTATATTAGGTTTTCATCAAATCTGACACTGTACATTATGGACAAAATCTCCATTATTCTATTAGTATTGTGGACTCTTCTACCGTGCTCTTTTTAGAGGGATATAAGCCAAATAAGCCATGTTTCTTCAGTCTTTTTCTAATTGTCCTATGATGAACTGTAACATATAAGTTCCAAATTTATTGGTAAAGGGCTCCATAAAGACATAAAAGGTAATAGTGTTAAACATTCTTGACCTAAGTGACTACTTTAATGAAATTATGATTTCTGTCATAGATGGGAAGCCATAAGGTAACCAGTGAATACACCCTGACAGATGCATAACAGATGCACAAGCTGTTGGTCCTGGCAGGAGGAACTATGAACTAATCATGAACCTTGCTAATCACTCAAAGCCATGAAAGCATTTGGTCACTTGACCAGCTTGGCCACGTTTTTGCTGTAATTTATGACTTTATGCTTGTACTCATAATCAAATATAGTGGGCAAGATTTGAGAGTTGTGTCCACTTGTGTTTGCCATACAAGCGCTCTAAATAGGCAAATTCCAATACTTATTCACACTATAAGTATTGGAACATTTTTTTAGAATTTCTTTGACAATGTGATCACGTGAAAATATTTACCTAGTGTGTTTTTAAAAAGTTACATTATTCACGAAGTAATGAAAAAAACAGTGATATAAAAGTAAAACCCCTGGAAATATGTCTGTTTTTGAAAAGATGGAAGTCTGCTGTTTCTGACTTAACAAAACACGCTGTCACTAAGGATACAAGACAACCTGGACTGGCTCACTCTCCCTAACACACACACACACACACACACACACACACACACACACAAGGTCTGCATAACTCCTTAGCAGACATTCCAGGATATTTATATGATATTAAGTTTCATGGAGCATGAGAATGAGATCATACATTGATTCTGCAGGCTTAAAAGCCGCTCCTTTTCCTTTTCCTTCCCCTTCTCTTTCTTGACTCTATCTGCCTTTGCTTTTACTTTCTTGACAAAGAAACTGGATTTAATCGAGTTAAACTTTAAAATTGACATTGAGCACTGCTTCTTTTACTCTAACATTCATCTGTAGGGCATTAGATATGGTTGTCTAAAATGTTCTCTACCCCTCTGATTATTCACGTTCACCCTAATGCTCTCAGTCTTTCCCAGAACTTGGTCTCTTATTCATGCTTTTGGCCACAGCTTACATCTGCAAAATGTTGCAATATTACTACAGAAAGGCAAAGAGATGCACGTAGGCGGACACACACACACATGCACACACACTCATACGCTCTAGATTCTGTCCAGCTGTTCAACTGCCTGAATCCAGATGTTTTGCACAATTATTTTCATCTGTGATGCATTTCTGTTACGCAGTAGTATTTCCACTTCAACCATGAACAATCACACAAATACAAATGCATATGCACACAGTGTGTAAGACAGAGTGATGTAGTGGGAGAGGGAAGTAGGACCACCTGAAATGACCTTTAGATTCAATATGCAAAAATATTACTGTTACAAAATACACACAGAGATGAGGAACAAGCAGGGGTGGGGAACTGAGAGGGGGCTGGGTGCTGGTGTAACAAATGAGTTGGGGGCCTGCATCTGTAAAAAGAGAAAGAAATATAGTGGACATAATCCGATCCTGATGTATTGAAAGAGTTTTGCGGTCAGAGAAATGAGGAGAAGCCAAAACAAACTCATTAGTCAAAGAATCATATGCGAGAGGATGGAAATGTGTATCCTTCCCCTGCACACTTCAGGAAGCACACACACTGCTTTAAGAAAGCACATGTGGCTGCACTCTAACCTATTTTGTTTTCAGGAATAGAACTAAACTTCTCCTGAGTGCAGCTTGTTGCTTAAATACTATTGCGAAATTTTTCAGAGCCAGTAGCTTCAAAATCCATCCAGTAAAGTTCGCACAATGTGAAATAACAGAAATAGTATAACAAAATAAAAACATGGTAATTAATAACCTTTATTTACTGAAAGTGGCACAAGAAAAAGCTTTTTTTTAAATGTGTTGACGTTGCCTGTGCTCCTCCTGGCACCCTGTGAGCTAAAGGTAAAAACGTGTAAAAACAGATGCATTAGATACATTAATTCTTGAATAAAAATGTGCATGAAACCTTTTTCAAATGAATCTCAAAGCACAGCAACACAAACAATTAATTTAAGTTGGATAGTGTGTAGCTAATATGACACTGTATATTATCTCTTTATTAGGTTATTGACCAGAATATACTCCTACAGATCTGCCACAAACTGAAAATTTATGAAATTCTAACAGTTTGTCGGTTTCAGGTGTACACCTCCCATGGGCCCAGTGTTGTCATGCCAACATGGTTCTGCTCACGGGAATGGTATCAGAAAGTTGGGCCGTTTGATGAGGGAGGCAAGGTAAGCATTCCTATTCCTCAAACTGACTCTCTGAGGCTACGTCCACACGTACACGGGTATTTTTGAAAATGGAGATTTTCCGTTTTCGTTTTAAAAAATAATCCGGTCCACACGTAAAGGCAGAAATGAAGGAAAACGCTGCTAGGAACATGCCAAAGTAGCAGGTGGTGATATATTCCTAACCGTGCAGAAATGTTGGCCAATCAGAAGTCTAGAAGCCTCGGTGGGAAAAAGTAAACAAAGATGGGGCATAGAAGCAGAACCGAGTCGTATGTGTGGAGGGACAGTAACTGTGTGTGTATATGTAAGCATTTAAACACTGCAGAGAGTACAATTAACAGTAACAGTATTGTAGAAATTCATTTCACCGAAACAATAATGTGGCGCACAGTGTGACGTCAAAAAAGGCGCACACCTTTGACGCTGCGTTTTCTCCGTTTTTCTCGTCCACACGTAAATGCAAAAACGGAGTTTTCAAAAATATCCACCCTGACCGGAGTTTTTAAAAATCTCCGTTTTCAGTGACCAAAAACGCCGTTTACGTGTGGGCGAAAGGTGCAAACGCATAGAAAAATCTGCGTTTTCAAAAATACCCGGGTACGTGTGGACGTAGCCTGAAGTGTTCACAAACCCACTTTGTTGCTCTTGTCGACTCACCAAATGTATATATATGTATATAGAAATAATAGTGATCGTCACCTCTATACACCTGACCAGTCACTTCTTGAATGTATGAATTGGTTGTGAATGTCAGAAAGAATTACCCAGATGGAAAGGTGTGGAAACGGAGGAATTTTCAGACACTGTTCGAGCAACTGATAAGAACATCCTTTAAAGCATTCGACTTCTCACCCCTACTCATATCAGCTGTTTTCACACATGAAAACTAGGAAATTCTGTGAAAATCCAACTGAAACCTTGCCTGACATTTTCCTTTCTCACATCTAGCACACTGCTAAAAAAATAATTGTTAAATGTTCTCACTAAAAATACATTTGATATCTGATATATAAGCCCAAATCCAAGAAAGCTGGGATGCTGTGGAAAATGCTAATAAAAACAGATGGGAATGATTTGCAAATCCCATAAATCCATATTTTATTCATTATAGAACACTGAAAATATATCATGTCATTTTACTGTTCCATGAAAAAGTGAGCACAACAACACAAAAGGTTAGGACAGGGTTTACGAAAGGCTTGAAAAGTAAGTGTTGCTAAAAATCATGAAACTACAAACAGGACAGACAACACCCAGGACTGTTAACCAGCTGGAGTCTTATATCAGATAAGAGTGCAACACGTTAATCTCCCAAACATCCAGCAGCTGGTCTACTCCTTATTTGTGGACTGTTGTTAAAAGAAGAAAAGAACCCTTAATGTTAGCATTTAAATGTTGCTATATTGGATTTTTGGAATCAGAATTTACAAGATTTAGACTAGAAGGTAGTGTGGCAAGTTATCAGCTAGCACTTCCAACGTGGACTAGCAAACTGAATCCATACGCTGTATGGTTGGGATGCACAGACATAGATGAACAGACTAATGCAACAATTTTACTCCCCAAAGCTCAAGCACAGAGTTCTCAGATGGTCTTTATTTAGCCGCATACCAAGTCATCTTATTTGTCAGACAATTCAGTTTAAAAAGCACCAAATATTCAAGAGGTTCAGTTCAGTGACTCGGATTAGTGGAGGTAAGGCCTAGCTGCAGCTCTCTGTGTTTGGGCATATGTCATGTCATACCGTAATTCTTCTTCTCTGTCTCCAGGGAGTCCCAGAGGATCTTCTCTTTTTTTACCAGAGTCTTCGTCATGGTGGGGGTCTGTTCCGGGTTGACCAGTGCCTGCTGGTATATCGTTATCATGAGAAAGCAGCCACTCACTCCGTAACTGAGTCAGTCCAACCATCATTCCTCTTCAGCTGCATTCACACACACATACTTGGACATGGTGTTGATCCTCCACCTACTCACAGCTGCCCACTGGCATCCCAGATTTTCTCAGAGCTCACACACAGATATACTCACACACATACACAGACACATGTTTTAGTAAGCTTGAGTTTGTGGAATTTCAGTCACTTTCCCAGCGTATGAATCAGGAATTTCTATGCGTTTTCTTCTCTCTGTGGAATGCTCAGTATCTGTCCAGTGGTGCTGGGAGGGAATCGGATCGTGTTGTGAAAAGAAATGTTTGACATATTGCGTAGCGTTGTGTGTGTGCGCGTGCACGCGTGTGTGTGAGCACGTGTGCATTCCTGCTGTTGCCTGTGCATCAGCATGCAGTCTCTGCAGGTGTGTGGGTCTGTCTCTAAATCTAAAACACACCAAAGAAAAAGGTCTTTCCTGCCTTCTCTCCACTCACACTGCCTAACCTTTCATCCCTTCTTTCCTGTTATCCCACCTTCCTTCCCTCTTTCCTTCCTTTCTCCCTTGCGTCTAACCAGTGCTCGTATATCTGCCCGTGTTGACGCACTCCTTCACCAATCATCCTCCTCTGTCTTCATCTATCATCTATTTTTGGAGATCTATTTCAAGCTAGACTGCCTTCCACTCTCCCCTACTTCTTATAACCCCTTCCCATGTACTGCCTACTTACTTCCTCTCTTTAGTGAAATGAAACCATTATCTTATTTTTGTCTATTTACGTCGATCTTGCTCATGCATGTAATTGTAGATGTGCTAAATGTGAGGTGTGAAGTCTTTTAAAAGATACTGCCAAAAAGTAACTGAGTTGGGAGGCTTACTTACACAGAAATGCAGTGTTTGTAAATGAGATGAAAAGGTTTGTGTGTAGTTAATCTCTACCATATTGCTGCCCTGCCTTAGAATCAAAGCCTGTATAGAGAAGGCATAATAACCAAGGAATCTGGAGACCACCCGAGCTCCATGATGATGGTGGAATCGGGTTTGCTTGCCATATGAGGCCCAGTGCTTAAAAAAGTAAGAAGTTCACATCAAGAGATGAGAGTGAAGCACTTTCTGAGAATGTTTGCTTGATTTCTCATTATTAGTGCCTTTGTTTTAAAATGTGAGTAGAAGGCGGTTAAGCTTGTAAACATAGACAGATTTAATCTTGAGGGTGTGTGTGTGTGTGAGAGAGAGAACCCTGTACACAGTTGTGCAGAGGTTACAGGAAGTCCAACTAATTTACATACATAAAATTTTCCATCTACTTAAAGCAACAGATCACAACTTAATAATTGTAGTACTTGCCGCTTTGTAGAGGTATGACACCGAAAGGATGGTTTAAATTTGTAGTTTTAGCTTTCATTTGTATTCACTGATAATTTACAATAGAGCACAACTAAGTTAGGCTGTCTCAATCAGACCGGTTGTAAACAAACTGACCAACATTTCATCAACTGCTTTTTTTCGATCGGTCACTGGAAGCTCTGTTTTGTACCCTTACACTTGCTCCTCCTCTAATCCCAGAGCTTTTGCAGTCAGTGTAAATGACAACTACTCAACTTAAATCTAATTTTTGGGGAAGTGGATGAAGGGATTCAGATCTGGCGAGAAGGGTAGGTGATAAGAGAAGAGGGAAAAAAGTGGTTTTGATGTATTTTGACTACAGCACATGTTACAGTTCACCAATGGTAAATATTCTTCCTCAGCCACTTTAAGGAGTTACAGTAGAAGTCTTTGTTTTTTTGTGGGAGATTAATTGAATCTAGGAAAGTCAAATACACAACAAACATACTCGTAGAGTCTTTTACTGAAAGCTGTTGTTTGGTCCTTAGCTCATAGCCTAAGAGCCAGCTCATGTCACTAGTAGTGACTCATAACGTGAAGGTATGCTCATTTTGACTCAGTAGGTGCTCTTTGAGCCCCAGTGTGAAATCGCAAGTACAAGTGGTCAGAGTGGGACTTCCAGAGAGAAATCTCTAAAAAACAAACAAAAAAACCCCAGCAACTGTTAAACGGGTTCAGAGGGGAGCTTCTCCCAAGACCTTCAGCTTCCTTGAAAGTGTTCAACCTGCTGCTTAGATTCAACTGCTTCTTTCCCCACACTAAATAAAAAGAATCTCGGAGTTGTACCAGTGACCGTCTGATTAATTTAGACTTCTCTGGCCACTCTGTTCACAGAGAGACTATTTGGAAGCTGCGAGTAGACTTCCTGCAGGAGAGAGTTCTCAGCCAATGGGAGAGCTTCACCATATGGAACGCTGGTAAACAAGGCCGAAAGCTGTACCGATCGCTTAGCCCAGCCAATCAGAAGAAAGTATGTTGCCTTCAGATGGAAATAACCAGCCAAATCAACCTGCTTCCTGTGTCTCCGTAGATACAGATAATGAAAAAAGTTGTGAAATGCGTGTTTGAAATTAGTGTCATTCTGTTATTTTAGGTCAAGGCTTTCTGTGATGTGGATGAGAACAAGATCCAGAAAGGCTTCTATACATACGAGGAGTCCGAGGTGAGATCATATTTGTTACATTAAACAGGTCTCCAAGATGGCTTTATTCCAGTGATTTATTTTGTTTTATAAACCTCTCTCGTGTTCCCGTATCTTTCTAGGAAAGGCCTAAGCCAAAGATTCAAGTTCTGCATTACAAAAACGCCTCCGCTCCTTTCATCATCTGTGTCAAACTGGTGAGCAAAAAGCATGTTTGTGTGTTGTATGTTTGCTGTTTCTGACCATCTGTTCCTCAGGTCTGTAATCTATGTTAACAACATAATGATGAAGGGCGTGTGCCCACTGCACGACATAACACACACAAACACAGGAGAGGCTGTCAGGAAATGGGTAGAGACAGCAGCCTGATCTTTGATCACACGATGCTTGTACAAACATTACATGTTTTTGCCACTATTGTGTTTGCATATAACACATATCATGGTTTGCATTTTATGCTCCAGATCGTGGCAGTACACATAGGCTTTACCTAGAACAATGGCAGTTTTTTTATTCATTGGTTTTCAGTATGTAATGACATACACATCCATTGTAGCAGTTAAATCACGCAATATCTATTTATCACACAGCCAAATTCAGATTCAAATCTATGGTGACCCCCACCCCACCTCAGGGGTCTACTAATTGCTCAATTATGGGAATTGGGAGAAGTAATCAGAGTCGGAGGAGATGGAGACCAGGACCCAATCATGCTCTCTCTTGTTCTCTATGACATCCACACAAACAAACACCTGGACTCAATCACACTGGGTTTACACCCAGGTGTCAAATATTTATTATCAGCAAATATATTGATTTCAACTTTTCTCAAAGACTCTGGTTCAACCTAAATTCCTTTAGTTTAGTCAAACATTTATTGTTGTATTTCTTTTCGCTTAAAGCCGAGGGAGTCTATCATGTTTTTCTATCATTGGTCAAATTCCATAAGGACCTTTTAGCATTTTGTAATTCAAGTAGCCTCAAAAACAAGACTTCTGCAACTCCTCTTGGATCTGTTCAGGATTTTGAAAATTTGGCCCTTGATAGGAGAGTTTGGTATTCACAAGAGACGGGATGTTCCAAAAAACTGTTGTTCAAATCAGGCATTCCTTCATATAAAGGAATGCCTGATTGAGTGGCAGAAACTCCTGCAGGAAAATGTGATATTCCAACAATAGCAACAGCTGCCTGCACTGGAAAACAAAAGAAAAAAAGGGGGGCAAATCTATCAAAACCAGAGTGTCAAAGATGGTCTGATAAGTGCAATAAATGTGCTAATATCAGCATTTCAGAAACATTTCTACTGTATCAGCTTCAAAATGCACATCGAGCATGTCATTCTTTTCTTGCATAGTTAGTCTGTTAACCTTACTTTCAGATGCAATCAAAGGTAACTGCTAGCTATGTAAAAAGCTCAATGACACAGTGACCCCCCCCCCCTCCGAACAACAGTAAGTTGAGTGCCAAGCCTATTAATCCAACCCAGTTTAAAGACAAAGCTGCAGGAAAAGGTTGTTTTCTCACTATTTATTTCCTTTTCCTTCTTGCTTGTTGCTGCTTTAAGTAAGAAATACCAAGTCAAAAGAATTCTGAAGTCCACAAACCCTGATGGCTGATTTCAGCCTTGAAAGAAAATGATGATGTTATGTTTGTTACACAAGTTGTGTTGTAGAAACTGTGGCCTGCCATGATGTTTTCTGTTAATGTTCTTTCTCTCGTGGCATCTTTTCATTCGTAGGACATGACTGGAGGCAACCTGGAGGAAAATCTAAATTCTTTGCAGCTGAAGGAAGGAATAGATTATTACCACTTCAACTGACTGTTCAGGGAGATGGGGAAGACTGGAGGAGGCTTGCAGGTTAACAGGCAGTGGAATGTAGTTTCACTTTGATATATCGGCTAATAAAGTCACAACAGGATATCCCAGCTCTGACTTTTTCTGACCCTCTCCTTAAGCATAGCACAAAGGTTTGTAAGGCTAATTCCACATTTCTTGCTGAGTGATGAGTAAAGGTTGATACCAGACTCGTATATTACATAAAAGAAAATATAAAACGAAGTGAAATTTAACATAGCTTAATTTAACAACAATTACAGCCTAACACCTTTGAGTCTCCTCATCTTTAATACATACAAAAATGTACATAACAGGTCAAATGGAAACAAAACAATTTAGTGTCTTACAAAGGTCTCACTTTTTGTACAGATTAAATTAACCCCTAACCCATGACAGAGTCAGACCAGCTCTTCCTCAAAGACTGTTTATAAAACATGGAAGTGAAGTCAGAGCTTAAGTTCCTTTAACCTGCATTTTTTCTAATAGTCAGCAAAGTGTGACAACTCTGCTTGAAAAAAATGAGTTCTGTTATATTGCAGAGTTTTAAAAAAAGATGCTTTCTCTCTAAGACCACAGGATGGTGATTGTGGTTGCAAAAACAGTTGGAGAAAAAGGCTTGACCGTTAGGGTTAACACTTTCCTGCTGACTTTATTGGCTCAGCCACTTGTTTTCGATCATATTGAAATAAAATTTTATGTGTTTTGTAAATCTTGGTAATAGTGTTTTTAAGGGTTATCTGTTGTATGAATCCCATTCTATGCTCATTGATTAACAAGTTGTCAGACATAAGTCATTAGCCAATAAGCTTATGATTTCACAGTAAGACCCGCCTCTCACAGTACATCCTTGTCTTTTTAAACCATTTCCAACAATGACAGAAATGTGAGGCCTTAAAACAGAACTTCAGAAACTGACGGGGGACACCACGATAGCAACGATTATAATGTTTGTGGTTTTTGGGGACAGATTTACTAAACAGGCCAAGGTGTGATTATTTTATTGATTTACAAAAAAGACGCTGTTTTCTAAACACTGGAGCACTAAGTTCATTTCAATATCAAGTGCAAAAAATAAGACTAAGATTTTTTTCAGAATTAAATAGCTGCGCAATTAGCAGCTACTGACATGTCGTAAACATTACTAAAATAGTTTGGATGCTTGATTGAAATATTCTCCTCCCTATATTTTGCGCCTTGAGAAAGGAACTCCCTGAAATACGTATGCAACAGGTTTAGCTGTGATAATACACTAAGCTGACCAACTGCTGACACGTTTATTATTTTTTTTAAATTAAAAAGTGTGTGTATTTCCCAAAATGTTAAACTGACACTTTTAAAAGCAAAAAGTAACGATGAACTGAACCACAGCTGAAAGGGGCAGCACAAGGGAAGATATGAAATGATAGAAACAAATGTGAAGATCTGAAACCCTTGTATTTTACAGATGACTGTTGTATATCATGCAAGAGGACATTGCCAATGTTCGTTACTGAAGGAATAAAATGTCACTGTGTTTTCTAAGTCTGTGTGAAGCCAGTTCGATAATTGCCAACCTGTATACTTGAACTTGTAACTGAAGTTAAAGGGAAGTGCAGTCATGACAGAAAGTACAATTTATAAAGGGTGGGATGTTTTATGACCACGTTTCTTAACAATTGTTCCCTGATGCAACTGTGTAAAATCAGATGCACGCACACATCTGCAAAGAATGTGCAAACACAGATTCAACTCACATTTGTTTCTCTTTCCCTGGGTCTCTTATGAAATCTAAAGAACAATAACCTCTTTAAGAGGGCACAATTTTGATACGTAAACACATAAAAAAAAACATTTATGTTACCTCACAGAGTGAGGAGTTTTTCTGCCCAAAGGTAAACAGACCTATCCACACAAAATATCCCCCAGTGTTTGCTGGTTTGGCGTCGTGGTTTGCATTACTGTAAGTTTGGCCACAACAGTTTAAAGGGCAGCGATGGTTAAAAAAACGGTCGTCATCCCTACCAACGTTTTATTTTCGCTACCTTTGTTATCATAGGCACAAAGTGACACACAATCACTGCACCACATTAGTAGGTAGGATTGGATTTAGTGTTGGATAAATAGCAGGAATGAGTCAGGTTTGAGGTGAAAGCCCCTTGCCTCTGCCACCCACACCGCACAGTGCTTTGTTTGGGCAGAGAAAAAAAGAATCACATCCACTTAGCCACTAGCTTCTATCTACACCCCCTCTTCCCTCTCTCCTTTAAACTCAAAAACTTAAAGGAACAGTACAACCAAAATCAGATTTACCCATTTTCCACATCCACCCTGGAGTGCGTTTTATCCATCCAGATTGTTGTTTTGATGTGAGTTGCCCCGTTTTGAAAAAGCAGGTTGTAGAAATGTCTGTCTTTGATATAATAGAGCTAAATTAATGGAGCTAAATGGCACATTTTAGTGTGCTGGGCAGATTGTTGTGTCCACACCAATGACCTAGGTGATTTAAAAAATCCCGTAACATAGAAAGATTTTTTGTAGGAATTATTTTCTTTCTACTGTCCATGTCCACCGAAAAAGGAGAGTCCAGCTAGCTGATATTACATCTCAGCTGAGTGTGGGACACCATTAATGCTTATGTCCTGCTGAGCTGTCGCCTACTTTTTGTAACAGGTGGATGTTTGCTTTGTTCTGCAGATCGATAAACACAGCTGGTATAGTTTTTACAGTTTTGATCTCCATAAAAAAGTGCCATTTAGTTCTTTTATATTCAAGAGAGCAGTTAATGCGTCTGTAGCTGATTTCTCCAAAACAGAGTGACTCACATCAAAGTAATGTAAAAAAAAACCCAAAACAAAAACAACAAAGATTTGGAGATGAATTTTCCCTTTAATCAACAAGGCTTTTCCAGAGAGAGACTTTGCATGTGATTTGGGATTTTTTACATAAATGATTTGCCGTTTTGTTTAAGGTGGGGCATATTCAAAACGTAACATTTATCTGCTTCCGAATGCAACCCGTCATTCAAAGTATGTGCAGTCATAAAACTGTAATATTCTTTGGATGAATGAACACAAAATATTTGAGAACAAGCTGTTTAAGTAAGACCGCATCCTGTCTAAATAACGCACGTTTTAGCCAGTCTGCCCTCATGATGAAGCACTTGGTGGATGATCAGAGTGAGCTCTAATGGAGGATCTATGAAAGAGAGTAAACAGAGCTTTACTCAGTGTATACACTCTGGTGCTCTGCAGACATCAGACCTCATAATGCACACACACAAGTGGACCGAATGACCCTGCTTGCCCTCACTGGTCAAATAAATCTACGCGTGTGTAGAAGAAATATACACACGCATTCTTACACAGCTGCATGAGCTCTGGCAGTGCAGCTGATAAGAAAAAGAGATAAGAGAGTGGAGTGTTTGAATGAAGGGGGGATCACGGGTCAGAGACTGAGGGCTTTTTCATTCACCTGGAATGATACAGCATTCCTTTGTTTCGACATCTCCCTCCAGAAGAGGTTTTTGTGTCTGAAAAGGAGATGCACATGCATGCTGTGTAAAATGCTGCACTATAAAGAGAAAGCACACTGACTATTTGCAATAATTACCATCTGTTTTACCATTGGAAGTGTTATGCAATAGCAGCGTATAATCAAATTAAAAGCAACTAACTGGGCAGTTCGATTTTTGATTGAATGTCTACGGAGCCACAAAAGGTCTTTGAACCTTATGATGAAGGCAAAGCAGCTTGTTTAACTATAAATACTTTAGCTCTTCATTTTCATTATTACAATGTCATGTTTTGTGGCAATTATAGGCCTAAAATAACAAAAACTGATACCTTTGTTAATTTTATCACCAAATAGGTCCTTTTCTACGATTCTTGAGCACCCACAGCACTTTATACAACATGCTTCATTCACCAATGCACCTTTTTTTCTATGTCTAAATTTTCTCTAACTCGAATGAAGACTTCGGAGAGCAGCGTGGGGTTCAGTATCTTGCCCACGGATAGTTTGGCATGCAGACTGGAGCAGTCACAGATAAAACCACCATCCATCTGATCACTAAAAAACTTGCTATAACTCCTGAGCTACAACCACCAGCAAAACAGAACTACTGTGAAGTGGAAGAAAAAATATCTATTTGCATGTACATTCCTACTTTGAAATAGTAACTACAAAGCTGGTTGGGCTGGTCTGATTGCCCACACAGAAGCCCTTCCTTATGAGGTTTGCATGTTCTTGCTGTAGGTGTGTGGGGTTACATCAGGTACCCCAGCTTTCTACCAGAGTTAAAAGACATGTTAGGTTAACTGTTTATTCTAATTTGGCCACTGATGTGAGGTATAGGAAATGTTTCAAGTGTACAGAGTAAACCCCTTAACAAATGTATGGTCAAATGATCACCAAGGCCAGAAAATTGCTAGACATTTACAAGTCCTTAAAGCTAACAGCTGAAATTTAATTTTTACTCTGACATGTACCATTAAGCTCTCAGCATCATTAGCAGTGAAAGAAATCAGGCCACAAAATGTCAAATACTGATTTCCTCTATTATGTCTTTGAGATATGAAATCTATAGTCATGCAGTCTTGGACATGACTCTCCAGAAATGGATAATCTTGTGCAAGACTATGCATTTCTGTGTATACATCCACAGTAGTTACTGCCATTAAGACACTGCAAAATTAAGAAGATCGGGCACCAGGTGATAGGTGTAAACTAAGACAATTATGAAACATTTAAAAAATGTCAGAGTACCTCAGGTGACTGGCTGATATTTAAACATTTACACTGCATTGAGTGACTCTAGAAAGAAGAAAATTGTGTTTGTAGAAATTGTGTTTATTTTATTTTTGATCGGTTGTAGTGATGACAATTCTGCTCAACATATAAACAGTATAAAAAAACAAATCATTACAGTCTACAGCGAAGTAGATGCTCAGCCCAAAAAACATATTCCTCACTTTCACTGTCTCACTGTCTTCCTTTGTAGGGAAGCATGAAGTGGTGTTTCATTGGCGTGGGCTCAGTGTTCCTTCCTTTTATTCAACAGCTACTGTCAAGCTGCCACGCTCAGCTAGCTCGTACGTAAATTAGGATTTCT